CGACGAGTGTTTTGTATGCCACTGGGCCAATCGAGCATCCTCGATTTACTACTCAGAGTATTACAGGCAGGGTTACAGCCTCTGAAGGTTACCAGCTATACGCATCCTAACATGGCACGAAGAATGCAGCTTCTGCACTTTAGTGTCTAATGGACGTTTGAAGTTCCTTGTATATCCCCGGCGTTATAATTGTTCTTTCTAAAATATTTTACAATAAAATTGTTTTATAGATCCTGTTATGTCTGCTATGTAAATTTGATATTTCTGCGTATAGCTTTTCCTTGGTTCGATTATACTCATCATGAGCAACTACGCTGGATCATTTGAACAATTTTTGACGGATATGTCGCTTCAACGTTATAAATCAATTCTGATAGAGTTCTTTGGAATATAAATTTTTTCATTTTACTATTAAATCATACTAAATATTTAATGTTTTTGCAAACAAACATGATCCGATAATGAGCTAGATCAGAACCCTCCGCATGCGAATCGGCAGAACCACCTGTTGCTGATCGTTGACCTGAATCTAATAACAGGCAGAAACGTCCTGTTCTTGTCTAAAATATCTCTCGAGGAAATCGCTCATGACGGTTTAACCTATTGCCTCACTTTTATTATTCCGGAAACCTGTGTGTTCCATACAATAACTGATGTTTCGTATAAGTGAAGCTTTTACTACGCAAGGCTTTTATAAATTATCCACTTTTCCCATACTTTATAGTTTGGTCTTAAATCGTAAAGTCCAATGGTAAATGGGTAGCCTATTTTAATTTTAATTTTCAATTTTTTTCACAAAGAATAGTATCATTGTGACCCAATGACGCCTTGGTAAGTATTCTTTTGGCAAACTTCCGCGAATTAGACGTTGAGGGATGAATAGGATAATTCATGAGGCATCATTAAGATAAATGTCTCGGCTGAAACGTCCTACTTTTCTACTTTTGCGAACAATCGAAAGTCCGCCGCTTTTGTGACTTGGGACCTGAGCGGTATCAGATAACAAATAATTGCGCCCGACCGCACTGTGCGTAGGCTCATCGCAGCGAAATCCATTTCTCGCACCGTTCGTGAGAATATAACTGCACGCTCAGAATGTGGCACGGGCCTTAATACAGTTAAACACCGTCTGTGTAGGCCCGTGGCACTGACTATGGGATAATCGCGAAGTAGGTAACAGTATGGAGGATGCATCGTTGGCTGTTGTCGCATTAGAGATGCGCTAACCTCGATCGAGTGTGTCGAGGATGCGCCATGCACTCAGCTTCACGCTGCTAACAAACCGTGATACAAGAAGAAAACAGAATACATTGGGCCAGATAATTTCATGTTGTGGGTTTGTACACGTCATTAATCCTTTCGAGGCTAAGTGCTACAATTTCGTACATGAAAGGGGTGCAGATTTTTTTTATCTTCCATGTGCAGCCCATGGCGATTCCTTAAAAGAAATAAAAGACTTGTTCCAAGATCATAATAGTAATTACTTTATAAAAAATATAGCTGTCGTTGAATTCTAAAATCTTGCTTCGCTTTAACTGCATAAAAGGGTTATTTATCTAATATCTTTTAGTAGTAGCAAATAGGTACAAAAACATGTTGTAATGAATGTATTAATCAGTATACGGAGTGCATATGTGTGTCAAAACGTTGCTAGTAATTGAGTAAATTAGCTGATTATACGCCATAAGGTTGCGAATTCCACATTCATAATGTTCATTCATCTACTGGTAATCTAATATTTCATGGCTATCACACCAAAAATGAACGACAGCTGGTTTATATATAACATGTGTTGAGGGATGCAATGTGTATGTAATCAAAACGCAATTTGTGCAAGAGTGAGGTGTTATGCAGTTATAAGTTGTACTATTGCGCAATAAAGCAGTATCACATCATGTAATCACAAAGCGCGTTGATGTTTTGTTCGTCTCGCTTTACGTATTTCAGTGTCAATAAATCTGGAACAAAATGAAATCTCTTCTTCAACGTCATATCTTGACTGAAAGAATAGAGATAGTAAAGATAATTTCAAATATATTTTACGTTCTTCATATATTAATATATGTGATTTATATTTATTAATTTATTTAATATCCAGAGCGCAACTATGAAGGAAAGATTGAAAAAATAAGAAACGGTTCGTGACGATTGTCGTTATATAAATACGGAACATTATCTATCATCTATACGGGACACAACATGATGAGAATGATACACCAAAATGCAGGGAAAGTAGATCATCCGTGTCGATAATCCTCGCTCATTCCGCGCCGCAGGAAAATCGTACGATAGGAAGGTCACGGGCTGTCCGTAACCTGGAACCAGTTTCTAGCATCCTCACGTTATGCTAGGGATCAGGGAGATCACGGTGCCAGATACTCTGCCAATGCAGTCCACGGCGCTCCCCTCTGGTCTCATCTCAACACAGGCTTTGCCTCTCTCCTCCCGCGCAAGATGCGAATCATGATGAGGCCGCACACTAACATGACGCGGAAGATGCACACATAGTACTTCCAAGTACGTAACCGCCACAGTGAAATTTAATGAACGAATCGCGTGGCAGCGAATCGCGTTGAACAGCAGTGTCTCGATCTCGCGAGACGCGAGTGGGTCTCTGTGTCAGGAAGGGTCACATGCTCTTGGCGCGCGCTACCACTATGAGAATTTTTACCTCGGCCCCGTCCCGCCGCGATGGCAGCTGTCTAGCGAGCTGAAAGAGAAAGAGGAAGATGCAAGGACGAGAGGGGTTCGCGATGGGGAGAAGAAAGAAGAGGATTATTCACTCATACAAGTGAGGTCGTGTCGTCACATGCACCGGCATATCCGTCCGTTTATACGAGAGAGATACCTCATCCCCTTCGTGAAGGATGGTATCTAGGAGGATGGCAACTCGCTGGTATATATCTGCTCGGAGACTTCGTCCTGATGCCAGTTCTCTCTAGTCGAGGATCATCTAGCTCGTGGGTGCGCGCAACTATTCGTATATCCGATTAGTCACTTCGAATTTCGAGTCGCGTGTCTCTCGCGTAATTTCGAGGATACGAGGTGTCTGTGATTTAATCCCAAAATTGTCCAACCAAGCATTCGCGAGTTGGAAAGCCATCCGAGTCCAACATGTCGGCGATTAAGATTATATCAAAGTGCGTGCTGCTGTTGTTAGTCTGCAGTGCAATTCATGCCAATGAGGACGGCGGATTCCTTGAACGAGGATACCGTGCTCTTTATCGTGTCTACGAGGAGTGCGAGCATCGCAATATGGCCGTGTCGCCGTGTTTGAAGAAGAAGGCGATCGCCTTCTTTGAGAGACTCGGTCGTATACAGACTTTACCGATCAGCGATAATCTCGAGCTGGTCAGAGTCGCTTCTGCGACGGATGATAGTTCGAAAAACACGGTTCCCGATCTGGAGAAGAATTTGGCTAGAACTAACGGAGGGGCTATGGACGAAATGCTCAACGATATTCTGTTCGAGCGCGTAGCCGCGCTAATGAACAGTTTCAACGTGCAGATCAGCTTACCAAAGACAAGTTCTGGCGAATTGAAACGAAGTATTGAGGAAGGTCGTGGGAAAATGAAGAAGATGATGGGCATGATGATGATGGGAATGGCGATGAAGCTCGCCGCGTTAGTTCCCATTGCTATGGGCGTGCTTTTCCTGCTGGCAGGCAAAGCTCTGATCATCAGTAAGATCGCTTTAGTTCTGTCGCTGATCATCGGCTTGAAGAAATTACTAAGCCAAAAGCAGGGTCACGATCATGGCGGCTGGCAGCAAGGCGGAGGTGGATGGGACAGAAGTCTGAAGGGAGTCGTAGACGCACCTGTATCATCAATGACGGAAGCCGATCGCGAATACGCTCAGACTTTAGCTTACAACGCGCGGCAGAAGCATTAAACAATCTGCAGCAGGAAGAAACAATGGGAAATCTTCAGGTATTGGGAGGAAGCGACGCCTGTATCCAAAGGAGCAGATAATATGCGATTTCAGAGACAGTTCGGAACATTGAAATAGATTCACTTATTTATGTTTTAAAATAAATTTTATCATTTATAAAACATCGTATTTATGCGTACTGCATAGATTATGATAAAAAGAAGAGAGTGTATAGATGGAATATATCAGTGATGTTATTGTTAAAATAAGAAAAAAAATATGAACGAAAATACAGAAGATGCAAAAACTTTAAAAAAATTAAAAGTAGGAAAAAAATTCAATTAGGCGAGCTGTCTTATTTGTGTAAATTTTTACAAGTCTGATCGCTTTTTGAATGATCATCGGTATGATAATAATCGCATCGTAATTTCTTCTAAATTAATTATAAATAACGTAAAGATTTAATGCGATAATACAATATATAGTAAATTGTTTTATTATTATATACATTTGGAGCGAAAAGGAAGTTACTGCAAAAAGAAGCTATTTTGACAATTTTCTGTAAAGCGAGAAAAATGCGCAAACTGTAAAAATGTAAATGTAGCTGGAATGTAAATAACTGTCAAAAAATGTAACACAAAAAAGTGATAACGACAAGTATTTCCATTTCAACTGTCAATTGCCCCAGTAAACGATCTAACGAAATGTGATAGCGAGAGAGTAATTTTCACTCACGGAAACTTCTAATGGTGCCCCTGTTTGAAGTTTTTGTCGACAATCAAAACGCGATCAATCATGAGGTTAAATGAAAAGATGACAGACTTTAGTCTTTGATTAGCCGAATTTGTAGTCGTTTCTCAGTACACTTGCGATATTTATATTTATTTATTTAGTACCTCACCAAGGTAGACAGAAAGTACATATTTATTTTAGATTTATAAAATAACCTTAGAGAGAGTTTGGAATGTGTAGCTTGCGACAAGTACTTACATCTGTATCAATATTTACGTTACTAAAATCTTGTGTTCAGTAGAGTAAGCGTAACGATTAAAATACTTGAGTGTTAAAATGTAGTGAATAAGAAATACTAATTCCATCATCTGTCAATATTTATTACAATGATTAATTTATATAAATATATTACATTTTAAGAAACGTAACATTTATTTCGTAATGATCGTAATACATGCGGATTGTTTCGTGTAACGTTTTTTATTTGTAGTGTCTAAAAGATAAAAAATAATTTAATTTAATGTGTTTATAAGTATACACTTGACGCGACGCATTTTTTACAAAATGTATACGAAATGTATACGTTTGACTCCGAGAAGCGATTATAAATTCGGCTTAAGTGTTACTTTGTGCACACAGGCGTTCAATACTTTCTCAAAGACAACGGCGATTAGTTATACAAGTCTAACCTGATTGTAAATTATTACGAAATAAAGTCGTATGTCATTCTCACTTCTTAGTATATTCTTGGTACGCTCCTTCCAAAGATCCTGATTTCGTTGTCAGTGTACCTTCAGTCCGAGAACGGCAGCAAACAAGGCGAAGAAGAATCCCGCAAGCAGCGTTGTTCCTTTGAGAAGAATCAAACCTCCAAGTATTACTGGTATCAGAGCGACAAATTTGAGTTTATACGCCATCAGCAACGCCAACATAGTACGGCCAACCTTTCGTTTCTTACGCCGTGCTTCATCTGCAAATTATCACGAACAATATGATTAAAATCTTGAACATATTTTCGATGATTTAGATTTGAAATAACGGAAATATCGAATTATTTAACACTGTTATGTTTGTAATAATATGATTCTCTAGATATGAAAATGATTTCACTTATGTTACAAGATCACATAATCAATATACAAGTGGAATACAATACCGATCATTAATGTGATTTTATTAAAAACTCTGTATATACACACATATATAGTATTTGAAAAATTTATTACAATTGAGAAATTAACATTAAATTCATTAATATACTATTTGTTAGGATTTTAATTTAAAAATTAAAAAATTTTAAATTATCGATATATCCCATTTCAATAATAAAAACCATTATAACATTAGAGAAAACCGTTATACAATGGTACCGTTAATCATACTTCATCAGAACAACAATTTAAACATAACGTTTGCTGCTATTTTTTTACATTAGTGTTTTATAGCGCTTGCATTACAAGATAAAAGCATTTCTGTCATTAAGCGTTATAAGGCTGCTTTTGATTTACCTCGTTCCTTCACTTCAATCTTAGAATGTGCATTATAGAAGTCTTCATCAATTATACGATGAATCTTGGCTACCTTATCTCTGGCGTTGCGACCATTGACCAAAGAAATAGGATTCTCGAAGGTGACATTATCATTCATATACCTAAGGATCTTCTCGCCGGGTGTGATAGTTCTCTCTTCTTTCTGCCATTTCTCTGGCGTCGATTTCGAATGCTCACTCGCGCGACTGACGCAATTCAAGGTCAGCAAAACCACGACCAGATTAACTCTCAACAGCATCTTTTCTCGTATTCATGAAGAATGAGTTCTCGCTGGAAATCCACTGATGATATTTGCACGCGGTTTCGTCTACAATCTCACTCTTTCGTCTATCTCACCTTATTTCATTGTCAAGACGTCATCGCGCACTGATTGATTTTCCTAGGTCAGGGAGTACCCGACGAATGTCTCCTCGAATAGCAATAACATTCGAATGGCTAACGAAGCGAGCACTGTCTTTTTCTAGGATCGACGACGAATCACGAAAGATGAATGCTACGGCCGTCACGACATGCCTCTTCCGTTGCTCGTGCCTGCCTTTGATTAAGCTCGTTCTGTTCCGTATGCAGGATTTAAAGTTGGATCTATGGAAACGACATATATATATATATATATATA